CGATTTTACGCTTATAAATCATCTTAAACCTTCTACGTAAAATTGCACTTTTGACTGCATGGATCATATCGGCGAGCCGATAAGCTGAGTCCGAGTCAGATCTGGAAATCTTGAGATGGACCATATATATGTAATGCATGGTTGTCACGCCGGCCGGCGTGCCACTGGTTGAACCTGGTTCAACCTATACCGGTCATAAAACCGGTATGACATCACCGGTATGACCGGCATGATCGATATACGAATCTCCAAATAAAATGATCTTATCTTAGTGAATTTAATTGATAAAAAGTCATTTATTATTTATTTTATGTGTTAAAAAGTTAAATGTTGATGTTATTTGTTGGATTCAAGTACAAATATTTAGGTATTGACGTTAAATGTCGTGTTTAAATATGAGTATTTGTAAATTATTTGTAATATTAACCGGCATGAACCGGCACAAACCGGTATGTACCACCGGTCGAACCATTCCACTTGCTAAACCGGCACACTGGCACAAACCGGTTTGACAACCTTGATGTAATGTAAGGCAGCAAGGGGATTAGCCCAAGCGTGCACTTCCAACTCCAACCACCATTTTGCAAAAGATTCTCTCGCTCTCTGTGTTATCTCTCGACTTTTAGGCGGCTCCATTCACTCTCATAATCGCAAAGAAAGAAAAATGAGAAAAGGAATGAAAACCCCACAAACACACACACACAAACAACAGTACGTACTGGCAGCCAGCCCCATGTGTGCCAAAGGTCCCCCCCATTGGCACCACTTCGTTTTGTTCTCATGCTCCCGTGCTTATCTCTCTCCCTCTCCTCTTCTAAGTTCTTCCGGAATTCCCGATCCGATTGTTGTGTTCGCAACCCATTTGTGAGAACAAGCACACGCGAGATCGAGAGCCCATCGGATCAAACGTGTTGATCGAGCACCACGACGATGGTTAGAACTTGCAAATTAGTTTATGCTGAAAGGTCAATGCACAAGAACATTATGAACATATGTACAATCTTCAAGCATCAATTAAGTGCTACTCATGAAGGCGCGCGATGGATGATGATATAATTAAATGTAATCTTGAATTTTTTTTCCCCAACCGGTAGTTAACTATCCTCTTCTCCGTCAACGTGAATGATATATTCGAGTCGCGCCCGATCTCTCGTGTTTATAATTGGACATTGATAGTCATACAATTAGGGGTGGCTATACGGTCCGGTCTGGTTAAATTGGCCTAAATTGATCCGGTCCAGTCTGGGTTTTTTTAAAATATAAGGACCAAAGATTGGATTGGATACAATCCGGTCTTGATCTGGTCCGGTCTTGACCCAGTCCGGTCCCAATTCGGTCTTGATTTTATATTGAGCTTGTGGGGATCTGAGTGGCCTAAGGCTTGAAAGGGTGAGGAGTTGGTTAAGTTTTGTACTAAGTGCAAAGATTTGTGACCGTTTATGCAAATTACCCTTAAGTTTTGGGTGTTGAGCTCTCTTATCCGGTTTTTATCCAGTTTTCGATACGGTCCCGAACGGTTTTTTACCTCAAATCTAAGCCCAAAGATTGGATTGGATTGTTTACTATCCGGTCCCGGTCCGGTCACGATTCGGATTATACGGTCCGATCTCGGTCCAGATTATACGATCCGATTTCGGATAAAACCAAAAAACACGGACCAAATAGCTAGCCCTACATACAATCGTCTCTCAAACCTAATATTGTGCAAGTGCAGACGCAGAAGTTGCTGTGCAATGCAATAATAAAACCAAACCAAAACCCCAACAATGGAAAATGATGCCCCAATTGCACGTTACCCCCTCGTGGGCATATCACAATCGATCGTCCTCTGCCCTTTGCTACCATTATATATATTCATTCATTTGTTTTGCTGTTCGGTGTTTGACAGTTGACAAGTACCCGACAGTTCAGTTTGTGAGCCCCAACTCCACCCACAACAACAAGGCCACAAATAGTTCCATCCTTGAAAATATATGGTTCAAGATATACATGACAATGGGAGCAGCTATATTTCATCATTGCATCATGTCCCTCCCTGCTATGGAAAAGATGGCCAACTTTTATCAGTGAAGTGGTATGGCTTTGCAACATTGAATTTGGAGGTTGTACTGTTCAATTGCATGGGTTACAACATCATGTTTGCTCAATAGTTCTCTAATTGGTTTCTCTCCTAAAAAGTAAAAAATAAAAAGTCTTTTCGAGTTAACTATGAACTCGATCTAATACCTTCCATCGAGATATAACTAGCATCTAGTAATACGACGACCGAACCAAGTGTTTTGAGTTCTTTAAGAATCGAACTTCATGAAGGGTATGCTCACAATATATAGGTGGTTAGAGTCCACATCATATGCTTGTCGGCCCGAATCCAAAGAATAAGGAAAATACTCTCATAATTTCTATCCGTATAAAGGAAGGTATATACTATATATCGATGTGTCGGATTGATTGTTACGCCTGCATTCTACCGCATGAAACTGCGTCGCACCAATTTAAAGATGAACAAATGTTTTATTAAAGTGACAAAAAATGTTATCGAAATTGCCGAACGCACAGAATCTCCGAACACATATGTTGATTAAAAACTAGTTGATAATTGATATGGGCCATCCGCAAAAAGGATCCTTCCCTTGAGGTTTCCAGTCATGTATACTCTAAGTAGCATTGCTTATAATTAGCTCAAAAGTTATATGATAATGTATATATCCAAAATGGCATATATTCCTAAACCATGTGTGTCCCTCCATTTAATGACCTTCCCCAAACCTCTTTTTATTTTTTTTGTTTAAAATAAAAACAAAATTCATACATATCTGATAGATTTCCTAAATAATTATTTGATGGAATATATGTCTATAAAATAAAACACTAATAAATTATGTTTACAATATAGACCAACCTACTATATAGGCCCCCAATTATTTTTTTTAGTGTCCACGAGCAACACCCAAGTAAAATGATGAGCCATTCAATCTTTGTTTCCTCGAAATTCCATATCTTAATTTGTAACATTGAAAAATTATAATTATTAGTACTTATAAATCAAATATATGAATTTAATTTTACATGGCGGACAGAGATTAGAGATATCCCACCCTCACGTTGGTCAGCAGTCAGCACACCATTTTATCAATATTTTTTATTTTGAAGAATATATAAATAATTAAATATTAGTTCTCGTATATGGTAATGACATCGCTTCATTGGATTAACTGCATCAATATTGTAACAAATTGAATGTCATCACCACAATGATTAACACCGTAATTGTCGTCTGTCTTCGAACTAATATTTCATCAACAGTTAATAATACGAATGTGCGAGCCAATTAAGCAAACATCTAAGCAGGTTCCATAAAGTAGGTTACTAATTAGTAATTGTAAATCTTCAGATCTAATCATATCGTACAAAATTGCATGGATTATATAAATTAATACCGTATATACTTAATAGTAATTATGTTTTGGTTCTGATTTCATTCGTTTGTTGGGATTGCATGCGAGCTAATGAGCATGTGATGAGCACGGATGGCACCTATAATTTAAACCACTAAAAGTTATTAGCTGCTAAACTAACCACATGGCCTTCACCAAGGTGGTTACATTAATTAATCATTTGGATGATCAAGGGAAAAAACATATAAGAAAAAATGAACGATTTTTGAGCTTTTGAATGAAAATCTCGAAGTATGTTGTAATGTTGAAATGAGTGGAACTCAAAGAGATGGAATTATTACGGTGATTGATATTATACCGTCGGTTAGATCGATACGATACACAAATATGTAAAGAATATCTATATTATTCCGTGTAACACGATCGAAATAACATACTGTCCAGCTTTTTCGATTCTGGTCTGTATTATTACGTTATATTGTCACTGGAATATACTATTTAGCGACGCAGAACTGTTAGTGTCAACATTATTCGGCGCTAATGATATTTTTAATTAATGGAGATTAACGATGCAGATTGGAGTTTGAACAGTTTGACTGAGTTATATGATTTTTTTTCCCCATGTATTTTCAAATCTTGGGTTTGACCAAATTTTCAGATGGTATTGCGGTTACCATGTGGTGGTGGGTTGGCTACAGTTGAAATAATTATTCTGGGGATATAGCTGTTAATTCAACTTCTCTTGGATCAATGACCACTTTTTGACTTATATCAAAGTTTAAATAAGATTAAGACAATATAATAAAAAGGTTTATCCAAAACAAAATTAGAGCACAATACTTCAAATCTTCAATGCTAAGTATGAGATCTAGTGAAGGGTTGATGTGAATACTAATCGTCAGCTAGTAAGACTAACTTCAACCCGTAAAGTCAAATTTGGCTCCCCAAATAGCCAAATATGGCTTTTTAGCTCCCCAAATCCCATTTTCACTCCAACCCTACACAAAGCTAAATTTCGCTTCCCATCTCCCTTTTTTCAATTTATTACAATAAACCATACTTATTTGACCTCTAATTTTCATATTTCACTTTAATTATTCTATAGTTAGTTATTACTTTTGAAAACAAAATTTTCGATGTAATTTTTTTTAAATTCCGAGACAAAAAATATTTTGGAAAATTAGTCATTATTTTGTTACCGTTAACTTCGGGATCAATGAGAAATTACCAATTAAACATACAACAATTCATATCTTCTTTCAAACAATTAAACAAACAACATACACAATCAACCAATGACAAAATACCACACAAAAAAAGAAAAAAAGAAAACAACACAATCAACCAATGAGAAAATTCCACAGAAACAAATAAAAAATAAAGGAGGACCCACCGCGGGTCCACCATTTTCTCTAGCCAAATTTGGCTTTTCCACTCTTTTGGGAGCTAAATTTGGCTCCCAATTCACCAGTACCCATTTTTAGCTCCCCAAAATAATGTGAGTTGGAGCACCAAAAAAGAGCTAAAAATGGATAAATGACTTTTTAGCTCTAGGGTTGGAGTCAGTCTAAGAGTCCAAGACTTTAACGAAGCAGCCAACACAAATAAATAATTAAAATCTCGTAACATGTTGAATACTATCACATATCGATACTTTACACATAACTTGCTCATCTATTTTAGTAGTTACATAAGCTCAAGTATTAGAGCCCCCAAACAATGACACAATTTTTTTTCTCTCTTTTTTTTTCATTCAAGGATTTGCAAATAATCCACACTAATGATGTTTGAGGTGATAACAATAAAGAATTGTATAGCTTCTTTTTGAAGTTCATGTGCTGACTGCTGAGTGATTTCCTACATACATACATGTTTTCTGTTGTTGCTTGAATTCTATCCAAAAATTGCAACTGTGGGCCTCCACATTGGGCCGCAAAATGTTAAGGATTGCAGGCCGCTGAATCTGATCCAGCCTACAAAGTACACGCAAGCAAGGTCAGTGTGATTAGAGATACCCATCCATCCAGGGACACATTGTATTTATCGCGACTCGTTATATCGTACTCAATCACGAGTCAAATGAGCAGACTCTAATAAAATCGTTTAACATTCAACCCAATCGCGAATGGACGAATATGAGTTTGTTCGGACTAGAAACATTAGGTGTAACCGTTAATAGTCGAGTTTCACATGTAATACATGTCATCGTTTGAATAACAAAATTTGTAAGCCATGATCACTAGTTCTAGTGCTTACCACACAGCCATGAACGTCATTGCACCCACAGAGCAGCTTCCCATTCAGAGTGTCCATAGCTTCAAACACTCCTCCACCTTCACTTCTCTGTCCACCCCAACAACACATACATTGAGTCGGTCACCTTCCTCGAATCGTTTATTCCGCTACATAAATCGTTAATCGAGTTATTGACACTAACTAGTCCAGACAGTAAAACGTACCTTATAGTAGTCGACGGCCACGAAATTGGCCCATCGGTTCCCCGCAGCAGCTTCACAAGTGGAAATCATGTCCATCACACCGCCAGAGTTATCCCCACAAGCAAGCTCCTTCATCGGCGTCGACCTGAAGTAGTTCATCAGCACAAGCGACTTCGTCGTGTCGTTCATACCCGAAGATTCCGCCCGGTTCGGGCAGCTACCCGATTTCATCCCTCCATCCCCATCTGCTCCCCCAATAAAAAAAAATTTGACAATCAAGTCCTTCTCCTCTGCCATCTCAACGAGTTAATTAAAGCTCACTCAATCCATGAACTGAAAACACTTTACATTGATTCTCGACCATGTAATTCCACTGGTAAGCGATGCCCTCGCTCGATTCCTTGGACGAAATCGAGGTGAAGACGAGCAGGCGCTGGTCGTTCTTCACCATGTCGCTGACCAGCGGCCAGTCCCCGCCGTTCTTGGGCATGCCGGAGACAGGGAACCAGTAGTTCATGAGACCGGCGTCGGTGAAGACTTTGGTCAGGCCTTTGTCGGCGTTGACGTAGTCTTCGAGGATGATGGTGACGATCTCCGATGGGTTTGCCGACATGAAGCCTTCGATCTCCTTCAAGAAGTCAATTGCTGGACCCTGTTTGGGGTTTATGGCGTTGGGGAAGTTGAATTGCATCAAGAAGTTGGTTTACAAAAGGAAAAGGAGAGAAACAGGGGAGGTTTAATTTGGGGGGGGCTTACGAAGGCAGTGAAATCGTAGCACTTGCCGCTGAAGGAATGGCACATCCAAACGTCGCCTTGGAAATCGTAGACGTCGAGCATCAATGCCCTGACTCCGTTCTGATACAGAGTCAAACACATATGAAAAAAGAAGATGGCTTTCTCTGATCTAATTTGACTGCTGGATGGAGTAGGGGTGAAAAAAATATGATTATGCGTGCTTTGCTTTGTCATTTGATTGAGCATTTAATGATTTATAGGTGTAATTCGATTCGTGAACTCATAAAACCAGTCATTTTATACGCGTAACAATTATCCGATTCTCGATCTGATGAGTGAAACATGTTTATAGTTTTGAGATGAAGTACACGATGACTTACGTTAAGCTGGGTGGTGATGCTGTCTTCCTGATTGGTTTCGGTGACTCGAGGTATCGGAGTGTGTTGCGGATAACCGTCGATGGCGAATGCATTGTGGGTTGTCAAGAATGCATACTTGTTGAATGGCAGAGAATTGTTCTGTTTCAACCAGTCATCATATTTGATTAGATCAGAGGGAAAATGAGAAGTATAAACTGGAGCAAGCAAAACAACTTGTTTATTGTCATTAAATCACTCACAAGTCACGCCATAAAAGTGGTAAATAAATTGAATTTATGGGTTGATGGATATATGGATTAGATGGATTAAATCAAATGAATTGGTAATTCATTAATCAAAGTGACATCCAAATACAGAGATTCATACACCAAATTAACAAATATGTACCAAATGATCAAACAGAACATTTTATATCATCTCTCAATAGTCAATTCTCAACCTTATCCTCCCGGAAATTCTTGTTAATGACTTACAAGGGACAATGAATTGGTTTCTAAACCACAAGAAAACTTTTCTGTCCTTTTTTAACAAAAGACAAAATGATTGGCAAGTGTAAAATGACCAATTTTGAAGGGAAGACAATTAAAAACAGAGAAGGAAGAGTTACCATACCAGGAGCTGGAACTGGTTTGTGGTGGTGGATCGAACGCAAATGGCGCCGGCCGTTACTTTCTTCAGGCAACTGAAACAGTAGAGCCCCGCTCCACAATCTTGGTCCGATGAACATTTATCGCCCACCTAAATACAAAGCATCAATTAACCCAATTCCCCCCTGCTTCTTGGGAAGAAGAAGAAGAAGAAGAATTGAAATCAAGAAACAGGGGTGAACGTAAAACAGAGTGCGCCAGCCTGACCTTGCATTCCCCCTTGGAGCACCCAAAAGCCAGGATCAGCGCCGCCGCCAGCAACACCCAGCTGATTGTTTTCTCCATACCTGAACTAGTAGCGAAGGTGGGAGGAAAGAAAGCTTCTTTCTTCTCACTGACTCACTGTGGCGGACGGATGGAGGGGAAGAGAGAGAGATGGAGATTTTGATTCAGTGTGTTTGGGTTTATAAGAGGGTTGGATCTTTGGCAGTCGCTGTACACGACGAAGCGCGAAGCTTCATTCAGAACAAAACAGAGAGGGGGAGTAATAACTAAGCTTTGTAAGAATCAGATATGGCGGATGATACCATTTGCTGTCTTATACACAAAGTACGGTTCTTGATTTTTTGTGGGGGAGTGGGGGAAAGGGTTAAATTTGGGTGATCAATCAAATCATGGAAATGGGGATTTGCCGTACTCGCCAAATTGGTATCAAGCTAACAGCTGAAAGACTTTGGAAGAGATGAATATTGCGGAAGAATCAGATGACTTCTCATTAGGATTCTGGAAACTAATATACATGATTTGAGGGAGACAAACTAGGAGCACTAGCAACAGAAAGCTAGGCACGTCCCGCGTCATTAGCAACAGAAAGATTAGTGGGAAATAATAAAAGAATAATTACATAAAAAAGGGAAAAATTATTCTTCTCTAATACGCCCCCGCAAGACGGACGGTGTGTCAACAACGCCGATCTTGGAACGTAGAAGGGTGAATCGAGCGGCAAGAAGGGGCTTGGTGAGGACGTCCGCGAGCTGATTCGCCGTAGGAATGTAACGAACGACCAGACGACCAGATTGCACCAGCTGTCGAACAAAATGGTAGTCTAAGGAGAGATGTTTCATGCGGGAGTGGAACACAGGATTGGCACAGAAATACGTAGCACCGAGGTTGTCGGAGTAGAGTGTAGGAGCAGCAGGGAGGCGGTGGTGTAGCTCAACGAGGAGATTTTGGACCCATTCGAGCTCCGCACTGGCATTGGCAATGGCTCGGTACTCGGCCTCAGTACTAGACCGAGCAACAGTACGTTGCTTTTGAGACCGCCAGGAGATAAGTGTGGAGCCCAAATATAGGAGATAAGCCGAAGTGGAAGACCGGTCATCCAGGTTACCAGCCCAGTCGGAGTCGGCAAACGCGGAGAGTTGAAGCGGTCGAGGAGAGCGACTGATGACGAGGCCATGATCAAGCGTGCCAGCAACATAGCGAAGAAGACGCTTAAGACTCTGCCAATGGGAGGTGGTGGGGGCATGCATAAATTGGGAGAGCTTGTTGACGGAAAAAGCGATATCAGGACGCGTGTAGACCAAGTACTGGAGAGCCCCAAGGATTTGACGAAACCGAGTGGCATCAGTAGGAGCCGTACCATCGGAGAGAGAGAGAGCAGCCGTGGAAGCCATAGGAGTCGGCATAGGGGCAGCAGCAAGCATATCAAACCGGGTGAGCAAGTCTTTCATATATTTATGCTGTGACAGTAGATAGCCGGACGGAGTAGGAATGACCTCAATGCCCAAAAAGTAGTGAACATCCCCAAGAGACTTCAGAGAAAACCGGTGGGATAAGGCAGCACGGAAGGAAGAGAGAGTAGCCTCATCATTCCCTGTGAGCAAGAGATCATCCACATAGACAAGAAAATACAGCAAAACACCAGCTCGATGGTAGACAAAGAGAGATGAATCCGAGAGAGTCTTAGTAAACCCGAACTCAAGGAGAAAGGTACTAAGAGCAGTATACCAAGCACGGGGAGCTTGACGAAGGCCATAGATTGCTCGTTTGAGACGACAGACGTGGTGGGGACGAGCTGGGTCAACAAAACCAGGAGGTTGAACCATATAAACTTCATCAAGCAGAGGACCCTGTAAGAATGCATTGTTGACATCAAAGTGAGAAATTTGCCAATTATGCGATAGAGCCAGGGTAAAAACAGTGCGAACAGTCACTGGTTTGACAACGGGGCTGAATGTATCGCCGAAGTCAACACCGGGACGCTGATGATAACCCTTGGCGACCAACCGGGTTTTGAAGCGAGCAATAGACCCATCCGGTTCGCGCTTAACGCGAAAGACCCAGCGATTTCCCAACACATTATAATGAGGCAGGCGAGGAACAAGATCCCAAGTCTCGTTGGCATGGAGTGCCTGATTTTCTGAAGTAAGGGCAGCGGACCACTCTGGATATAAAAGAGCTTCGTGCACAGAGGCTGGTTCAAGGGGCGGAGAAGAGGAAGACTGACCTGGGCCCGCAGTAGTAAGAAATAATTTCTTGGGCCGAAAAATTCCATCCTGGGCTCGGGTCCGCATGTTGTGGACTCGCAAAGGGGGAGGAGGCTGCTGGACAGGCGGACCAGACGGAGGTGTGCTGGGCGACTCAGCGGGCCCGGTGGCAGCAGGAGGCCCAGGGGCTGGAGGCGGGCCGGAGTCTGCTGAGGAGGAGGCCTCGGACGGGGACGCTGTTGAGGAGAGGGATGTGGGCCCGGAATTGGTTGGGCCTGCAGGTGTGTGTATGAGTGGAGCGGCCGAAAATGAGGTGATGGTTGGGCTGGAATCCAAGAGCCAAGTGGCAGGTGAGGGAGCCGCTGCAGTAGAAGGAGAGGAATAACCTGGAAATACATCTTCCACAAAATGGACATGACGAGAAAGAAAAACACGATGTGTGAGAGGATCAAAACAACGATAGGCACTGCGTTGGGGGCAATAACCAAGGAAGAGACAAGGGCGGGAGCGAGGTGCAAGTTTGTTGGTGGAGTAAGGGCGAAGCCAAGGATAACATAAACACCCAAAAATGCGAAGTTTATGGTAATTTGGGGCTTGATTAAAAAGTTGTGTGTACGGAATGTGACCACGAAGAGCGGAGGAGGGCATCCGATTAATAAGATATATAGCAGTGGAAAAAGCAAAGGACCAAAAAATGGATGGGAGATGAGCATGATGAAGGAGAGTGATACCAGTTTCAACTAAATGTCGATGTTTGCGCTCAGCCAAGCCATTGTGTTCAGGGGTATGTGGAGGAGTAAGCAAGTGACTGATCCCATGGGTATGTAAGGTAGAACACAGCTTTTGAAATTCACCACCGCCGTCTGAGTAAATACGACGAATGGTAGTAGAGAAATAGTTTTCAACCATGGTGCGAAAATCTAAAAATACATGAAGAACATCAGATTTTCGACGAAGAGGATAATACCATGTGTAGCGAGTGAAATGATCAACAATAATCAAGTAATATTGAAAACCATCGACAGAAGTAACAGGAGCTGGTCCCAAAACATCAGTATAAAGTAGATCAAATGGGCGTGTACTCGAAAGAGAAGAAACGCCAAACGGAAGTTTATGAGATTTATTAGAAAGACAAGCATCACAATGACTAGGTGAGGATGCAGACGAAACTGGAAGTGAATGGGAACGGAGTAGAGTGCGAAGGGACTGGTCGGAAGGATGACCAAGCCTGGAATGCCATGAAGTTGTGGAAGTGCGAGTGGTAACTAGCGCCATACGAACCGGTCCAGTCTCTGGCGGCAACTCATACACATCACCTTTGTTTTCCCCTCTCAACAGCTGCGCCCCCGTGCGAAGATCCTTCACAACAAAATAAGTGGCAAAAAATTCCACAGACACCGGATTAGTACGACATAACTGAGCCACAGAGATAAGATGCTTTTTGATCGCAGGCACATGTAAAACATCATGAAGAGAAAGTGAATGAGAACCAGCACAGAGACTAGAGGAGCCAATATGGCTAATCCGCAAACCTGAGCCATTGCCAATAATTATTTCATCGGGACCAGCATAATCGGAATATAATGAAAGATTGCCAAGATCGGCCGTGACGTGATGAGAGGCCGCAGAATCCATAAGCCATGGAGTGGGAGAGGGCTGAAGTGGAGCAGATGGAGCATAAGAGGGCCCAGAAATCGTGGCATGGGCCTGAGGTGGAGCCTGCTGCTGCTGTTGGAGATGGGCCTGGCGGGCCTGGGGAAAAAGTTGGAAACACTGTCTAACAGTGTGTCCCGGCCTGTCACAATATTGGCAGACCAAACGGGCCCGGCGCTGAGGTGCTGTAGGGGAATCTCTAGGAGAGGCTGGCCCAGAATAGGAATTAAAAGATGGGCCTGAGGCCCGTGGACGATGACCAGGTAAGAAACGGGCCTGCTGAGGAGACTCCATGTAGGGCGAGTTCAGCTGCTGCTGCTGCGCTCCGCGAGGTGAGCGAAGAAAGGAGGGGCCGCCGCCGCCATTCCTCTGCCCCTGATTATAGAATGCGGTGGGCACCGCCGTGGATTGCAGAGTCTTCAAGTCAGACTCATATTCAACCAGAGTGTCAACAAGATCCTCCAGTGTGAGGCCTGGGCCGCGAGCACGAACGGCGGCAGAGAACGCCTTATAATCATCTCCGAGCCCTCGTAGACAGTGCACCACAAGATCAAGATCTTTCACCGGTTCGCCAATAAGGGCGAGTTCAGCAGCAGTACTCTTGAGATCATTAACAAAATCAAGAACATCTCGATTTCCCCTGACAATCTTGCCGAGTTTCCCTTTCAAATGGATAATACGAGACTGGGCATTGCTAGCATACAGTTTCTCTAGTGTTAACCACGCATCACGAGCATTCGAAGCCGAGGACACAAAAGAATAAATTGATTCGTCAATAGAGCATCGCAAGGCATGGAGAATTAGTTTGTCTTGCCTGAACCAATTGTGATAAGCCGGATTTGAAACAGTGACAGCATCCACTGTAATAGACTGAGGCGGAGCAGAGCTTGATCCGTCAATGAAGCTGATAAGGTCGAGTCCCATAAGAAGGGTTTCCAGCTGCGACCGCCAGGAAGAGAAGTTCGTTGGAGTGAGTTTCAGAGGTAATTGCGCCGCAGGGTTAAACGTGATGATTTGGATCTCTGAGCTTTTGGATCCATTGAGAGAGTCTGAGACAGTAGAGTCACCAGCCATGATGAGAATAAACAGGGGATTGAGACGAAGAAGGAAAAAACAGAGATTAGGTAAGGAATGGATCGAATCTAGCTGATCGTTGCTAGCTCTGATACCATGAAAGACTTTGGAAGAGATGAATATTGCGGAAGAATCAGATGACTTCTCATTAGGATTCTGGAAACTAATATACATGATTTGAGGGAGACAAACTAGGAGCACTAGCAACAGAAAGCTAGGCACGTCCCGCGTCATTAGCAACAGAAAGATTAGTGGGAAATAATAAAAGAATAATTACATAAAAAAGGAAAAAATTATTCTTCTCTAATAACAGCTAGCCGTTGATTGATTGTGTAGCATAAATACGGGTGCAATAACAACAAGATTTGGAAATGTTTATTGGTGTCTGGGTGTGTTTTGGATGGTTAATTATATCTCTATATCACGTTTTGTTCTGGGTTTTAGATTTCATCACAAAGTATCAAAACATCAGTCAAGGAATATTCAGTCCAAAATCCCAAAACTTGATTTCAGTTTCAGCCAAATGAAGAACCTGAAACGACAAAACTTGTGAATAATTTTGGCTTTATTATCTTGATCTTAAATAATTTTTTTTTCGTTCATGAAATGGATACCTATCCTTTTCTTAACAAATAGGAAAAAGAAAATCTAAATTGGATGTTCATGACACCCAAATTGTTCAATATAATGCCCTAACTTGATAACTCCAATACTCCCTCATTTCTCTAAGAAAGAATTTCTACTAACTATACATCGAGTGTGCATTTGCAAACAGTTTCTCAAATGTCTCAAACTCTCAACACCTCTTTTTTACTTACTCCCAAGCCCATTAAGCTTTAGAGCGCAACATTAGCCGAAGCAGAACAACACCAACAACAAACCAGGAATCAAAGTTTTCCACGGAGCCAAGAAATGAGATTTACGGCCAGAATTTGGCAGGAAAGGATATGAATCTCGAGAGGGTAGAATGCATTCATCTCCATTAAAGTAGACCTTTCGAGGAACGCCCACCCTTGCCGCAAGCTGAAGGTGTTTGCATCCTTCTACAGTAGGAACTCTGACTGCACATTCCCTAGTGGCCCTGCTTCCATTAGCACGTCGTCGAAGAACTTCATCCCATAGAACATCCCCGTGTCATCTGCAACCAACAATTCGAAACCCAATTCATGAAACTCACATATTCATAACAAGTGCTTATGTATGGACGCCATAGATCAATCCATTTGACTCACTTATGGATTCATAGGGAACTCGAGGCCTGTAATCAAAGCTGAAGACTTGGGTGACATTGTTGAGATTGGGGTGCTGGACGACCAGAGTCCATAGCGTGTAATTCATTCGGTAGTTGAAGTTGGCGACCGAAACTTTAACACGCTAGTACTTCTTGTACTTGGTATTGACGTGCCAATGGACTCGAACCGGGCACATATGGTGCGTGCACTGTAACAACGAAGTGTTGTCCTTTCTTGCCTTGTATATCCCTGCAGCCATGCTCAGAATCTTGGCGTCGTTACTAGTACATTGAGTGCACAAGAAAGTTAGTGACGAGTTCGCGACACTCAAATTTCGATCTCCGAACTTCTCCAGTGACGAGGAAGGAACTCACTTGAAGAAAGTTAAAGAAACAAGAGGGAAATTATAATCTCTTTGATAAGAGGGAAATTAAAGAAACAAGAGGAAGGGGAGAAGTACACCGAGCATGGCCTACGGCGGTTCCTCCGCATGCGGCCGCCGGAAGTCATGCCGACATGCCCACTATCAATTCCTTCTTCTCGTCGTCGTTGGACCAGAAATAAAAGCTTCTCTGTTAAAGCATGAAAGGAAAAAAATTCAGTTACTGCAATTTTTTTTTTGTATCAATATATAATAACTGTAGTCACACCTCAATATAGCAAACAGTGTACATGTATATTGGCTATTTGGTATTTCACTTTCTCGAGTAAAATTTTCTATTGGGATTATTTACCGGTGCTTGGGTTTTTTAGTAATGTTTTAGATATTGTTACACTATTTTCATCCTTCAAAGTGTATCGTTTTATTTTATTTTTTATGCACATTTTAATATTATTTTATTTGACCTTTTAATATTATTTTAGTGAGATTGTTATAATGATTTTTATTGAGATGACCGACTTAATTATCCGGTTGATCGTTAATCTTAATGACCAACTTTATATAAATTAGGGACTCGATCAACTTATATCTAAGTGGGAATAAGATTACTCTCGATTATCTTGGCAATTATTAAAAGAGAAATGATCATTTAAAGTATCATTAGATAGACATAAAATCTATTTCATAAAATGAGTCATTAAAATACTTTATATTGAAGACATAAGCATAAAGCAATATATACGACGAAGAGAGACCAACAAAATAATTCAAGTTTTAAATTATACCCAGTATGAAATCGATTTAAGTGCTCATTTTGTTACATACGCCACCGATTTACCTGATTAATCAGTCTAGGTTTTGATGTGTTCTTGTTTCTACCATGTAGTAAAATTACAGATGTTTGCAGATTTCAACAGATTAAACTAAAGATCTGCACGTTCATTCTTCAAATTTACTTACTCAACTCAAAAATAGTTTGCAGACTAGGCTTCAACAACTTTCAATGGGCCACAAAGGTTGGGGTCTGTTGTTTTGTATTGGGCTTGGGCCGTTGCTTTTCTGTAAAGTGGAGCATTATTGGGCCTCTTTCGCCTAACTCAACCCTCGCCCATCTAATAAAACCCTAGTCCCCACCCGGTTACATAAAACCTAATCGACGCCTCCATTTCGCCTTCTCCATAGACTGCAGCAGCGAGCGAGAGCACTCTGCAATTAGGGTTTCTTCTCCCCCTCCCTGCTTCCTTCCAGAGAACACCAACCATGGCGGCAGTAGCGGCTCCAACGCCCACCGAGTCTGTCCAGTGCTTCGGCCGCAAGAAGACCGCGGTCGCCGTCACCCACTGCAAGCGCGGAAGGGGGCTCATCAAGCTCAACGGCACTCCAATCGAGCTCGTGGAGCCGGAGATCCTCCGCTTCAAGGCCGTCGAGCCCATCCTCCTCCTCGGGCGACACCGCTTCGCCGGCGTCGACATGAGGATCCGCGTCAAGGGAGGCGGTCACACCTCTCAGATCTACGCCATCCGTCAGAGCATCGCCAAGGCCCTCGTTGCTTTCTACCAGAAGTTCGTCGACGAGCAGAGCAAGAAGGAGATCAAGGACCTCTTGATCAGGTACGACAGGACTTTGCTGGTCGCTGATCCCAGGCGCTGCGAGCCCAAGAAGTTTGGTGGACGTGGTGCCCGTTCAAGGTTCCAGAAGAGTTACCGTTGAAAGGTCTGTGCTGGTTGCTTATGTTGTTACAGTCGTTTCGTTTATGGTTTGAGCATGGATGCTGTTTCGATTATGAGCTCAAGAATTTTGTTGTTTAGGAAAAGTGGAACTTAGTAGTTCATATTCTAAGGGGTTTTTGGTTTGTTATCAGGATTCTGCTGTTTCTTGGCAATGGATGGTTTTGATTTCTGCAATGGATGGTTTCGAATATGATACTGTTATCTGCCATATTGCTCTGCTATCTGTGATCGTTTCATGAATGCTTGTGTGATTTGTTTCATTGTCTTGCCGAAGTAATGTGTGTTGGGAGCAAAATAAGATTTGGTATTTGTTGAAATGCTCTGCTTAGATCTTGTGTATCCATTGCTGGATCGGTAATGGTTGTGGGTTTAGTGTTTCTTCATGTCTGTGTGCTTCTATAGTTGCTAGTAGTTTCTGCTGTAGGACACGAACACCTGCGCAACAAAGTGCCTTGATGTGTCGTTGCAGAACCTTGATGGTCGACTCTGTTTTCGATCATTTGAAGAACAGTTGAAATGTCGAAACCCAGAATCTATGTCTATGTAGTAGAAACATGGCAAACCACCACCATTGCCGTTGATTTTCACGCAGAGCAATGTGGACCGAATTGTTTCGGACCCTGAAGATCATTCCGGTAGCGATAGAGAACCACATCAAGAAGAGTTGCTTCAAAAACCCGTTAGTGTTTTCACTTCTTGAACCTCTGCTTCTTGCCTTCTAATAGGGGATGCTTTAAGCTGTTCATGCCTTTTAGAAATTGTCCAATTTTCCCTCGTAGCAAAGTGTCTGCAGCCTCTGGTTTTCGGCACAAGACCACTTCTTCTTTTCCCCTTCCATTATGTTCATGTCGACACATTTACCCGAAGAAAGTCACTCCAAACGACAAGATCGTTTCTGGTTCTTAGCTGAGACCGAATTTGGTATACACGAAACTAAACCCTGCTTTGACGAACACCATATCGGGCTGCAATTTCATAACATGGGCACCTCTTAATCAAACAACATAAACTTTGGTGCTACGATGTTCCTCGGTCCTCACGTGTATAATTATCATTCTTCCTCCTCTTCCTCCTCTTCTTGTCACACTAAACAGCGATAGTACTGTATACATAGCAGCAGCTGATCCAATGTGCCGTGCCGTCCACCGGACAACCCCACCTTATTTAGCCTGCAGTTCAAAATCCTGCTCGCAATTGATCCAATCTATGAATCCACTGATCAATCTGGTCAAAATTCATGAATCCACCTTTGGCACGCGATATACGCGGTGCCCAGAATTGAATCATGCACCTTTCCTTGATAGAAAGCTCCTCCGCTAGAAGAGTTCTTTGCGCATTCCTCCAGATACGGCCGCAGTTCAGGGATACATTTGCCGCAATCCTCCACGGTTCTGTCTCCCTGATCGTAACAAGGGCCAATGCCCATGGCGGAACCAGCGAACGACGCCTTGTCGGTCACCGGAGCGTCGCCGCAGATCGGAGGCTCCAAGGGAAGTGCCCAAATGTCCCCCGCCGACTAGTACTAGTAGTACAATAACCGCCGTCGTCATTAGCGATGCAGCAGATAATGTGGTGTAGTAAGCCATTAATAATGTTGTTGTTATTAATGATTCGTAACAACAATATCCCAGCCTTCTATATAGTTGCGACTTCCTTAGCTTCTCGCTTGTTAATTTCTCCCACTTCAGCGTTTTTCTCCTTCTTCCAATCTTTAAGAGCTGTTTTTTTGTTTTTAGCTTGGGCCTCGGCCGGCCGGAAGGAGAAATAATGGCGGCGATGACCTCCAAGTAACAGAGATGCCACGCCGAACACGAATCTCTCTCTCTCTTGTGCCGCATGATTATGAATTGTTGCCGCAGAATTTTAGATACTTCTTGAACTGAAACCTGAAAATGAAAACCTTATATAGTTTACAACGGTTGTGAACGGAAACCTTTTTTAGTGATTTGACTACCACATTGTTTCATGTGGAATTTCGCGTGATCAATGCACTCTGACTTCAAGAAAACAGAAAACGATGTTACTCGGTTCACACCTCTTCAAACACTGTTCGAACGAGAATGTTCGATGCATACATCTAGTAACTCCTCTCCTAGCGTCTTTTGCAAGTCAGTTGCTGCTTCTAGTAACCACCTTCCACACGTCATCATGTCACTGGACAATCAACCCTACGTACCATGGATGAACAATTAGATGGTCACCACACACCAAATAACTTGGATGACACCATTCACTTTGAGTTTGGATGGTGTCCATTATGTTTGGGATGGTATCCATGTATTTAGACACTACCATCCATTGTTAGATTTGGATGATATTTGGACACTACCATCCATTATTGGTAGGCTTGGCAATTATACCCATACCCATGGGTTTATAACTATCCAACCCATTTGGGTTGGGTCTGAAATCCAATTAAAGTGTAAATGGATAAAGTTAGATGGGTCAATACCCATACCCATTATGTTGGGTTTACTTGGGTTTTACCCATGAACTTGGGTTAAAAAATCCAAACCCAAATAATTAAAAAAAAAAAACGAAACTAAAAAAAAAATTAAAGACAATCGAAGACTCATCTCATCCATCTTCCTCTCGCACAGTCGACGACTCTTCCTCTCTAGTCTCTACCCATCTTCGTCGACGACGAGCCGGCTGAGCCACGACGTCGCCGCCCCGGCCACCAGCTCGACGTCGCCGCCCCGCCTCCGAACTCGGCTCCGACCACTGAATCGCATCGCTGCCCCGATTTCGTCGCCGCCCCGGCCACTGCCGCTAGCTCCGACGTCGCCGCCGCTTCGAGTTCTCCATTCATCGTCCCCCAAACCCTTCCCAGGTAATTGACTAATTGGGTTTTGGTAATTGAGATTTAAAGTCCTCTCGTTCCTCTTATCTAGTATATCGTAGTACCTCTGTGAAAAGGGCTTCCATTCCATGGATTTACAGAGCCCCGCTATAGGATTCCGTTGACTCCCGCTATAGCCGCTCCACCGTTCGCCTTGGTGAGCTTAGCAGCAGCTGTTTCGTCCACTCTAGCTTTGTGTCAATCGGATTCTCCTTCTCGCTGTCCAAGCCTGGATCTAAGTCCCTGTCCAATCGGATTCTCCTTCTCGCTGCTCTCTGAGGTATGGAGGATTTTTGGGCTCTTGTTTAGTTCTGATATGTTCAGCTAGCTACTTTGTTTCTCTGTTTGGTGGACAACTTGTTGAATAGTGATGATTCGCGAACCGTGTTTGAGCTGGGAGAACCCATTGAACTTTCTGTTTGTGTTACTGAATTTGGTGGTTCTTCTTCCACTCTAGCTTTGTGTCAATCACATTGAACACAAATCCATGGCCATAATGTTGTCTTGATACCTTCTGTGTTCATCATGATTCATGAGTTAGCAACGGTCAAATGAGTTGAATGAAGTACAGGGGCCAAACAAGAATGAAACCATCAAAAAAGGTGTTCGTTTTCTTCCTTCCTTACTTCGAGATGGCGGCCGGCGTTCTGCTTTGGGTTGTTGGTCCAAAAGAGAATGCCGTCAGTTCCTCCGCTCTACTCGGTCTCATACCCAGAGCCGGAACTGGCGGCGGCGTCGCTTCCCAGTTGGGAACTAGGCCCAGGGGCGCCGGCGCAGGCGCTACAAGCCAGAGGCCGAGAATTGCGTCGTCGATGAATTCGAATAGCGGGGTGTCTGCTGTGTACTCGAGCAGCGCCGCCGTTGCTGCGAGCCCGGCAAGATCTTCGGAAGAGAAGGTCTACGAGGTGGTGCTAAAGCAGGCGGCGCTGGTGAAGGAGCTGCAGAGACGGTCGGCGGAGGAAGAGGCAGTAGCCGGAACGATATCGAATTGGGATCTTCTGAACGACGCTTACGATAGGTGCGGCGTGGTCTGCGCCGAGTACGCCAAAACTTTAGGAGCAGCGCCGGCGTGGTCTGCGGTGTGGGCGTTGACAACGCCGATGGGGCTCGTCGGGCTCCATCACCACCACCGCCGGGCCTCTAGCTCCTTCTCCGAAACCCTGGAGATCCGAATCGACCGGCGTCCGAACCCGGATCGGAGGCAGCAAGTTCGTCGAATCCGCCGCCGACGAAGATATGGAAGCCGGGAATGGAACACGATGGTCGCTGTCGCTGACAGCCAAAGTTACACTTTAGTACCTAAAGTTTTTAAGAAGATAAAAATAGGTCCAGCATCATATGTGGAAAATTACATTTTAATACATTAAAAATTTCTCTTTACATTTTAACACCTAATAAAAAAAACATATACAGGCAGGTCCAAAGAGATGGGTACCCAAGCCCAATCCATACCCAAAAATAAAATCCAAACCCAACTCCACCTACCCAAATCTTACCCAAATCCATATAGAATAAATCCATACCCAACCCATATAAATGGGTATAATTGGGTTTGGGCAAAAATACCCATGGGTGGGTAAATTGCCATCCCTAATTATTGGATGTGGATGGTATCCATGTAGTTGGACACTACCTCAATTATTGGATTTGGATGGTATCCATTATGTTGGACACTACCATCCTTTAATCCTACGGTCCGACTTGATGAATTGGACCATCCATATACACATGGACCAGCTACTTAAATTGACCAAGCTGTTCATACATGCAATAATTAATGAAAATTATTATGTTGTAAACACACATCATTGTTCTCATATAAGCGGGTTTAATACGAATCTTGTTTTAAACAGATACACGGCAAATACTATTACATGAACCAAATGTTAGAAACATACTACTACTGCATGCACATCTACGCAATCCATAAAATTACAATTCTTAGTAAGTATCAAACTCCGAAATCTGCTTTCACCAATCCCGAAATAACTAGTTATTGATGAGATTCATGAATTTTGTAGAAAAAAAATTGTTTGATTGATTACTCAAACTACTTAAAATTAGATACAGAAATGTACATGAATAAATTTGCGTTATCCATTAATAAATTGATGAGATTACGTAACGGTTACATACTTTTTTGTGTGAGATATTAACATGTTTTTCTATCATATATATATATATATATACTAGCATTTTCCCCGACCCGTTGGTCGGGTTTGATTATTCGATTCAACCTCAATTTGATCTTCCATGTCAAACTTGGATTATTTAAAAAGCGTTAAAAAATCAAACCTTAACTGTATTGTTCGATAAATATTTCGTTTGAATTAGTAGTGAAGAATTATAGGGAGGGTAGAGCAAGACTATGAAATTAAGACAATCAAAACCTAAATCCTTAAATGTAAGCAAATGAGATTACAATAACTCACTAAAATTCTAACAACGTAACGTAAATGAAATATGTCAAACTTGGTGCATAGTTTAGGCTAGAATGAAAATTTCATGATCGATGGGGCAAAGTGGTAAGTTTGTGTACATTTTATGGATTGGTGGATTGATCCATGAATCCAAATGACATGTAAGCCTTGGAACAATATGTAAGTTTTGAAAAGGTTAGGTACTAAAAAATCATATTGAAAAATTTTAATTACCAAAATGTAATTTTTCAATGACATTTTTCTTATAAAAATAAAATTCAGGTACCAAAATAAAAAATATATATAAGTACAGGTACTGAACCCTAATTTGTCATTTGGATTCATGTATTAATCCATGAATCCACCAATCTAAATGGATTTGGATAAAATGGATTGGATTTAAAAAGATTAGATTCACCTCTATAATAAATCATCTCTCAATTCCTTAAACGATTAACAGAATTTGCCTGACCTATATGCCAGTTTGAGTATGTTGTTTTGTTATCTATTTTATTTTTATCAATTTAAGGCATTGCCAACACATGTAAGTGATGATTGTCACATATTTAACACATAAAAACGTTAACATAGGACCATTCAGCTATTCATTTGGCGCACTTAAATCTTGATGAACATTCTTGGCCAAATTCTATTTAGCACCCAGTTAGAGCCCGTTTGGGTACTAAATACTTCTAAAGCACTCATTCCTTTATTATTGTAAAGTTGTCTCATTTTATAGAAAATTTAAGACTTATTTTAAAGAATTAAGTTTATAAATTAATGATTTCTCATACTCATGTTCACTTTGAAATTTTCAAAATTCGGGAAAATTATAACTAATGAAAGACTATATCAAAGTTTGATGGTAAATTGATTGAACAGTATGGAATAATTCAAACTTCATATGTGTTCATTGACACTGATACCCTTTCGAAAATTACGTATTGCTTTGGAACAGCTGATGTGGCAAACTTCATATATGCACTTTGATTCGCACCGTTGGGGAAGCGAAGCGGGACTCTGGTATGCGATAATCACATTCAAAAATTGGGGGGAAATTTGTTGGACTCCATGGATGAGTTTGTACTAAGACGGTCTGCCGGAGGATTGGAATGGCCTGCGGCGATTGGGATCGTATCGCTGCGGGAGATTGGAAGCTGAGCCTCTTCTACGGAGAAACCGTGTCCAGAAATTGGGGAGAATTGTTTAGGAGAAAGGGAGGGTAGAGAGAAGCAACGAAGGAGTTTAAGGTTTAAGCAAGATAGATGTAATGTATAGATACGGGCCCAAATTTATTTCGGTTGCATCTTTGTTTCAGAGTAAACTCAATCGGCCCAAATTGACACGCCCAAATTTCTATTAATATATAGCTATGAGTCTATCTTTGGGCGCTAGCAGGAACAATTTTTGTTAGCCCATTTTCACTTTTTTGTCTCTGAACTGACATTGCGGTTTGACAAAAACACCCCTCCGTAAATCCCTCAATGTTTTGCACTGGCTGACGTGGCAGTTTCCACATATATGCTCCTCTATATATATATGGGTTTATAGGGTTGTGACAAAAAAAAATTCAAATACGGAAATCATATAGAGAAGCAAGCCGGACACTGCGACGTGAAGGGAGAAGAAATCAATTTTTTTTGTTATTGTGCAAAACGAAGCGCTAAAGAACACTCCAACCTTTACCATCATCGCAGGAATCAGAGTTGTGTATGGCTTTTGAAAAGTTCGATTAATATGTTGGTGTATGGCTTTCCTGCAATAAACGTTCATTAGTTTGGTGTACTTCAAGAACTGGGTTTTACCCCAAATTCGATTTGTTTTCAGTTAGGTGTATTAATGGATCTTAAAATCTAGGCATGGAGGGAAATTGTTCAATAGCTCTAAGGTATCTACAGCCAGTTACTCGGCTCTTTGTACAAGGATCAATCTTTCATATCATTACACCTTTTCTGTTTTCAATAGCTACAAATGGTGTTATACATCAATCATCATCACAACACAAACAAACCAACTTACAAACTACAACACCATGGGGAATTCACCAGATCTCACTTCACCTAAACAGAGACATAATCCTCCAGCCAAATTGCACCTCCAGGCTGCCGATTCCAGGTAAGTGTTACCGTGTGTCAAAAATTTGTGGCAGGCATGGCTTGCCTACTGAAGCAGGAAAGCCAGAGCAGATAAAACGACGGTTGTGACCAGCAGCAATGGGGACATGATATGGCGGGAGCTGGCATTCGGCAACCAAGGGTAGGCATCAGGAGGAGGCATAACACAGTTGTCGCCGTTGAAGTAGATCCTTCTCGGGAAAGCCCAACCCTTTTCGAACGTGAAGCTCTCGGTTTCTTTCTGGAACAGTAACTCCGACTGCACGTTACCGGTTGGGCCGGCTTGCATCAGCAGATCGTTGTAGAACTTCACTCCCCACATGATCATGGTGTCATCTGCAGTTAACAATTATGTCACAGCGTTTTTAAGTGTCAAAACATCGACATCCACTGTGGGGAAATGGAAAGGTAATTGAATAAACATACTGATAGATGCATATGGATTCAACGACTTGGCGTTGAAGCTGAAGATTTGGGTCAGGTTGTCGAAGTTCGGATGCTGAGCCACTAAGTTCCACTGAGAATAGTTCATTGCGTAGTTGAAGTTGGTGATGGTGATCTTCACCCGCCAATACTGCTTGTAGTTCAGCTTAACATGCCAATGAACTCGTATGGGACACATGTGATGTGTACACTGGACAGCAGGAGGCACTGCCAAGCCGTTCTTCCCTGGATTCGGAACTACTGAAGCTAAATGTGGTTTCTCCGGACTGCAATAAGTTAAGGAATAAGATCGCATCGACAAAAATCATATAGAAGCGGATTGCTTTGAATGTCCAAGTAAGAACTCACTCAACACAGCTTCCAGACAGAGTATTGTTGCTTTTGCAGCCACATGAGCATGTTGGGCAAGGCACTATAGTGTTGTTGTAGAATGATGATAATGAGACGCAGCAAGTTGGAGTCTTCTGAGCTAGAAATTGAGAATACGTGCAGGTAACGTTCCATGTCACTGCAAAGGAAAGAAAGCCTTTTATTACCTCATATCAGAAGATAAAAGTGATCAAATGTATGTCGAGAACCAGTGCATCCCCATAGGAGGGAACCCTTGCAATATAAACCTCAACTAAACTAACATTGGTTTTAGAAGTAAATATCTATAATGCACGCACATATGAAATTCTTAATCATTCCATTGACTACTAAACTTACTCAAAGCTTGAGTGACTCGTCGTTTATCTGCAGTTGTGAATCGACTCGGTTTGACAACTTTAGCCGGTCCACATGTGTAGCCAGGACCAGGTGCCTGCAGAGTGAAATTCACAGGAAGCCTGACTGTCTTATTGGTAGTGCCCGCCTGTCCTACGCTAAGCTGAAACGAAGCAGCAGCAGCAGATGGATCTTGTGCCCACGAGCTGAGCACTCCACCCTTGCAGCAATTTGCGACCTGCTTATTGTATGGAGTTCCAGGCAACAAATCGACGACAGTGGGTTTCTTCTTGCAGCAATGTGGGATGTTTCCTTTGAATTTGGAGCAATCCCCTTGCTCGGTTGTCTGCCCTCCCACCACATCCCATATCACCTCTCTCTTCCTCCATGTCCATCCCAAAGACCATCCTGGTGCTTGAATGTGACGGTATTGTTGGAAGTTGTACAGTGTTACAATCGCCTGTTAATCAGTTTCGTGAATGTATCACAACATATTAATAACTGAAGAGCATGAAGGAAGTAGTAGCAGCATAAGCAGTAATTACCAGCTTACCAAATATAGCAGAACAAAGTGTCACTAGCAACTGAAGGGTATGAAAGAAGAAGTAGTAGTAGCAAAAGCTTTAGTAATTACCATGTAACCATCAGGGGTCCAGCTCATGATATCCCATTTCACTGTGATATTTCCAGTTGGGTCAAGTGGGTCATAAGCTTCTGAAAGAAGGAAAGGAAACCCATCAAATTCAACGAAGGAAACAGTGGGTGGACAAGCAGTGACAAATTAGAATACATATAGCGCAAAGTATCCAGCTTTTCATGTTAACACTGTTCAAAGAGTCAAAACGGACAGGATCCATAGAACAACACGCACCAATAGCTTAGACAATATAGCAAGAGGTTCAATGGCAGAGGAATTCCAATTCAAACTTTAAAGAAGAGAACCAGTGTGAAGCACATCTTATTGGCACCAGCTCAGCCGATCCAGCTAATCGCTGGTAGCTTCATGGGAAACCCAAGTGTTCACATTAAACCTCTTAAATGATCTATTGAAACCAGTTCATTACCATTTCAAACATCATTGAGGTCTGAGGATTTAGTCTTTACCGCCCACTTTGCCATTCAAGGGTTTGAGAAACATCTGCAACTTGACAAGGAAAAAACGCTACTGTGGAGAGCCCATGTGAGAGGGCTTGCTCCAATATTTAAAGTCTGGAGAGAATGTTCCCAAAAACAAAAAACAAAAACCAAATAAAATATTTAACCAGAAGAATCCAGAGAGTCCTATTCCTGCATCCACTCATCTCAAGCTGTGCATGGCATATTCAAAGATTATGCACTCAACTTCGCACGCTAACTTTTCTCAATCACAGTCTAAATCTCCTCGTCAAACAATCAAATGCCAAAGCAGCTGACGCAACCCTAAACCCCAAATGGCCGATGATCGATGACCGCAAAGAAACCCATTTCTCCATTTCTCACCACAAACCCCAGAAACTTAAAAAGAGAATGGCAGAGAACCCATAAATAAAAAATAGAACATAAAGGCCACAACTTTGAACAGAAAACGGGAGCACAGGGGAAAAAAGAGAAGGATGGAGACGTTTTAAACCGCACCTGTAGAAGTGAAGATGGTGGCAGCAGAGAGCAGGGAGAGGAGGAGAAGCAGAGTGGTGAATCTGGAGAGGAATCCCATTTCCTCCTTGTACGGACAGATTCACGATGCAGGCAAAAAAACGAACCTTTTAGCCCTTATATAATTATGTTGATGAATCTTCCTGGTATGGAATTCCTTAGTGTGTTCACCTTTCTAGGGGCTTGACTCTGGAGAGCTGGAGGAGAAGAAGAAATGGGTGTGTGGGGAAATGAAAAAGAAAAAAGAACAGAGGGGGTGTGAACTGTGAAGGCGTGAAGCAATGCAACTTGGCCGTTTCTTTGGCGTTTGTTTGTTTTAAGGACTCGCACAAGTCACAATCCACATGTCAAAAGACAGTATTTTTCCTCTTTTTAGTCATGAGATTGAGCAGAAAGAGGTGTGCTTAGAAGTTGGGAGACTACTGAATAAGTAAAAAATAGAGGTGCGACACCTCAAGTTTGCTTTCTTCTTTTTTGAGTGCGTGAATTAGTGATTACATAAATGGCTTCGCCAAGACGCGTGATCATTTGACATTTAACAAAGAGGGTTTAAGACTTTAACGTAGTGGTAATCAATCATATTATTGATCTTTGCGATGAAGCGAGTTGCAATTATGGCGAGAGCATAACCAAATTTACTCGTTTAGCTAGGGAATAATTACTCTTTTGTCACCAAGAGATCAGATCCATCATGTTACTCATTGATTAGTTACATTGTCGAACAAAATATAAAGAAAAAGTATTAATATAATAAACGAGATTGAACGGTTTGGTTTCTTGACCGATCGATGTCTGGTACTCGAATTCTCTCGATTGTCTTGCCAAAGATAAAGATATCGTTGGTTCTAATTGATTGATTGATTGATCAATTTAGGGGTTGTTGTTTATGCTCATGGTTGTGGTGGTTTTGATTGATGTTCTCGGTCTGCTGGTGTAGTGTGTGTCGTTGGAGATCATTGTTGGCGACTTCGGCGGTGTGCTAGTTCAAGGTGGTTTCAGTTTGGGGTGGATGAGTGTGGGGTTAGTAGGGTGGCTGAAGATATCGTTTGAAGGCTATGGGCTAGGGTTGAAATTGGCCTCGTTTTGTTTGTTTGTTTGCTTAATGGATTTTGAGTTGTGCTTTTTATGTCCTTGTATTTTGGCCAGGGTTGAAGTTGGCCTCAGTCTGGAGTTAGTGATTGACGTATTGTCTCCTCGTTTTTTATACTTCTTTTGAGTTATATTTCACTTCATCATAACTACGATTAAATGAAAGTATATTTTAAAAATAATTTCAATAATATATAGAAATATGATAGTGTTGACTTAATCTGTATTATCTGACTTATTCTAATCCACTCTTTGTGGGTATTACCAGCCCTCCAAGTAGCTTAAGGAAATACATGGTCTTACTATGACATCATCATTTTCTACCCAATTTTACCTCTTTTATGTCAATTCTCTCTAATATGTACACAAATTTATACAATTTTGACACTAACAAAATTGTTCAGTTACAACTTAGACCTAACCTTCAATTTCTCAAATAAACTCTCAACTTTTATTTATTTAAACATTGGTTTCTCCTCTTTCCCCCCCCCCCCCCCCCCCTTTCCAAATTAAAATGCATCATAAATTTCTCAAACTGCATTTAAAAATGGGAGAAAATGCCCCAGCCAGTGTCCAGAAATTATTATCGTATTTGACCCACAATTTATTGATTTTATTCTCATTTCATACAAAAAGTCGTTCCATGAAAAAGGAAAACGAAACCGTGTTTGGGTTAGAATCAGTGGGATACGAAAATTGGGCCTGGGCCGCCTGGCCCATAACATTCGACGAATCATCTTCTCCAACGCTACCTTACTGGCCGCCGTTCGTCCGATTGACCTATTTCTCCCGTCAAAATTTTCCACCGCGGCGCGTCGCCCGTAATCAAATAATAAGAAAATTAACAACCCAAAAATATTAGTACACTAATAAAGATCGGTCGTTGGGTTACAGAATGAGACTTCCATCTTGGGAAAGTTTGATTTTTCGTTTCAGAACCGGGATCTTCCGCTCCAAGTTCCCCTGAAACGTGAAAACCTGATTCCCGAAAGAGAAAGTTCAAACCTTTTAGCATTTGAGTTTTGGTTACAGCACCCGCCGATACCTCTTCGCTTCCCAAGCTCCGTGATTCCCCAATGGAGGCATCAACTGCTACTACTGTTACAACTAGCGCCCGAGCGCAGCCCTTTGGCCAGACCGAGATCAATTGGGACAAGTACGTTCGTCTCTTCCCTCAATTGATTTTCCGCTTAGCGTTTGGTTGCCGAGAAAATACGACCGAGAACATGGAGTTGCAAGGTTGTTATATCATACATTCATACTGGCCTAACCTTAAAACAACGGAGGAAGAGTTCCATTGTGAAGGGAAAGTACGGAACATGTGAATTCGATATGAATTTGCTTCTTCCACAATGTTGATATGTTGCTTCTTGCTAAGTATCTGATGTAGGCAAATCATCTAAACCCTTTTCATGTGCTCATGTATTTCCATCTGGGTTTTTGCCAGGCTCGACAAGACTAAGTTTTATGTGGTGGGAGCTGGGATTTTCACTGGGGTTACAGTAGCATTGTATCCTATGTCTGTTATCAAGACCAGGCTCCAGGTTGCTACAAAGGATACGGTTGAGAAGAATGCATTTTCTGTCATCAGAGGGTTACTGAAGTCAGAAGGTATACCTGGTCTATACCGAGGGTTTGGCACCGTGATTACTGGGGCAATCCCTGCTAGGATTATCTTTCTCACAGCTTTAGAGACTACAAAAGTGGCTGCTTTCAAAATGATCGAACCGTTCAATTTATCTGAAGCTCCGCAAGCAGCTGTAGCAAATGGGATTGCTGGCATGACCTCGTCTCTGTTCTCCCAGGCCGTGTTTGTTCCAATTGATGTGGTATGTTGTTCAGTTCTTTCTTTGAACGCCTTAGAATGATGTCCTGATATTTATCTACACTACTTAAGACTTAGGCTTTCTGATTTATTATCTTTGGGGGACTAGTTTTCGTGAAAGGTATTTTCTCGAATAATTTGCTCTATGTTACCTATCTCTTGAGTGGACAAGGTCATGATAGTTTTGTTTATTCATCAGTATCTGTATGATGTTAGCTTAGAGAATACAGAAATCAAAGTTGCACACGATGTGGATTTCTGAAAAGCTCCATGATCGTTTTGTTTTAGGTCAGTCAAAAGTTGATGGTGCAAGGATATTCTGGTCATGAGAGCTATAAGGGGGGTATTGATGTTGTTCGTAAGATTGTTCGGAGTGATGGAATCCGAGGATTATATAGGGGATTTGGTCTTTCAGTCATGACATATTCCCCATCCAGTGCTGTATGGTGGGCAAGCTATGGTTCAAGCCAACGCATTATATGGAGGTGATTTCATATTACCTTGAAGACTTGCCTTATATTTTCTCGATTTGAATTTTCAGATTCATTTACTATTTTAGCTTTCTGTTTTAGGCTCCCTCTGATATTAAATTTAGGTTTGATCATGTAAAATGTTATCTAGTCTTTTGGAAGTGATATAATCTTAAACTTGTGTTAGGGTATGGCTTTAGACCATGTGCTAGATAGGTTTTCTCCAACTGCAACCCAAACCTATTGTATGGTCTTTTAGTCCTCTCATCAGGCTTCGGTAACTGCAGATGCTTGAAGGTTATAATGCCTGTTAAAGTAGAACTATCAGTAAACATTATCTATAGGCTTCGGTAACTTGCTTGATTTATTTGTCTTTAATATGTGGATCATTCTGAGCAGGTTTCTAGGTTATGGAACTGATGCTGAGCCAGCAGCCCCTAGTGACTCGAAGATAGTCGCCGTTCAAGCTAGTGGAGGTATTATTGCAGGAGCTACTGCTTCCTGCATCACAACCCCTTTGGACACTATAAAGACACGTTTGCAGGTAATAGTTCAAACTTCTAATGAATAGTGTTCTTACACTGACCATCTTGTCCTTCCCTTCGGACTTGTACCACTCATTCATTATTTTAATGCAAAAAAAAAAAAACTAACTAACTAATTTAGCTGACCTGCAATGATGCAACTTCTGAAAGGAGTACCATTTGAATAGTTGATTTTACCAATTATAAAATGAAGTTTTGACTGTTCTCCACTTTTCCTTAGTTGGTTTATGGAACTTTGATATGTGACAGTTAGTTAGCCATGCAAGTGATTTAGCATCATACTCTTTTAGTGGTCATTTTAAGCAGCTAAGGCAATAACATCGAGATGGACTATATGTTTGGCTGTGTGCTAAAACAATAATTAGGAGAGGTTTTGGAAGCCAGAAGTTAGTCTATAATCGACAACTACATGATGGGTTGGTCAAGTTTTGGTGTGTTTCACAAGCTCATTTTCCATGTAACCAGTAATCATTTTGTGGTGTCCTACTCATTTCCCTTAATCGAGTGTTTCCATGGTCCAGGTAATGGGGCATGAAAGGAAAAGTACTGCTAGACAGGTGGTCAAAACCTTGGTAAAGGATGATGGTTGGACTGGTTTATACAAAGGGTTGGGCCCAAGATTTGTCAGCATGTCAGCATGGGGAACCTCCATGATACTAGCATATGAATATTTGAGTATGTACTCTTGCTCCTACTCAATCTCTAGAGTATTAATTTGACACTAGGCTGCATGTTAGTCCCTTTGTCTGTTCGATGGCCATATCAAGAGCTTTGACTTGTGCAGTAACTAGAGATACCGGTTGTTATTTCAATAGCTTTGACTTGTTCAGACTCTAGGGATACCATATTGTTTCATAAGTCGTGAGTTGTTCATGAATGCATACCTTAAGCCACTAGTGTTTGTAGACCTACAAGAGATGTATATCTCTCTTCTATTCTTCTGTTTCCTCATCTTATTACCAACTGTCCCCCGTGGTTATAGGTAGTTCATTTATCTAGTCTTGACAGTTGACAGTGTAGCTTATAATTTCACCTCATTAACAGTTGTGCATTGTTCCATGCAGAACGCTTGTGTGCAAAAGACGAATAAACAGAAAGACTCTGGACATCACAGTGGCCAACAACATCTTGCTGAGGGAACGACGGGAATTTTCGCCCCTGTTCAGGAATTACCTACTATTCCTTAGGATGCCTCTTTCGACAAACTCGCAGGAGAATGTTTTCTTTTTGTTGTCGGCTGAGACTGCCATGGCCAAAGCATCTCTTATACGAGGAGATTTTTTTGATCAGTTGCAGATTTTTTTGAAAGCCACATGGATCCAATCTACCATTCTTTGATTACATAGAAGAGACCTTTCATTATTATGCTCCCTTGAGGGCAAATTATTAACGTGATTATAAATTGTAACCCTTGTATTTTTTTCCTTTTCCCCTTACCATAAACTGTATGTTTGTAGGAGAACTTCGACTTCCTCTGATGATTAGTCATGTACTATTGATCATTCATATTAGTAATAACAGGACAAGAAACAAGTTGATCTCTTCATCAGAGAATTCCATTTTGCACTGAAAACTTGTGCGACTCCTATTTATCGAAAGATTGTATGTATGCATCTTCTGCTATATTATGTCCTGGTAGGCTTTTCCAGAACAGCAGAGAAGAAAAGCTCATCCCCAAGTTTGTCCGTCTTCGGCACAACTCTCCACAACAGCTTTTTGTATCCAAGCCTTCCGAACTCATCAAGGTACATCTTCATATCCTCTTTCTTGCAGAAGAAGCGATCGACCCAAAGTAACCCTCTGGGTCGAAGGACACGGTCCCAATCGAACAGCACAAACCGGAGTAGCTCGACTCCTATCCACCCGTCCAGGAACAGGACTGAGTGCACAATGTCAAGCGTGTTGTCAAAGAAAGGCAGTCTCGTCCCAACTGATACATACAGAGGCAAGAGCCCCCTCAGTGCAATCACCTCACTGAAAGGAGCACCTAAGTTTAATGTAGCTGAAGCAATGGTCACACTTCTCTCTCTCATAAGTGCAGCAAAAGTTCCTGTTGTAGGGCTAAAATCGAGCCCTACACGGATCTCGCCTGACCTCAACTTCAAAACCTCGTCAATGGTGAATTCAGCCGAGATGGACTCATTGGTTGCCACCTCCCAGCCTCGCTTCGTCAGGTTGAAACAGTATGCACACTTGAAGAACCCTCTCCTGTTAGCTTCACCAGAAACAAGACAAGCATAACTCTTGCACTTGTAATGGCTCCACATGATGTTGGAATCGCTCGGTGGGGTCCAGAGGGAGGAATTCATCAGTGGAATTGGGTTGGAATAGCTTGGGGATGCCCTTGAGAAGCACAATCTTCTTGGAAGTGGGTCACAGCCATTAAGAATCAGCCGTTGAGCCACATCCCAATCATCTGGGCACATCCCGTACATTTTGTAGCTCATGAAACGGTCTAGATGTGTGGCCATATGGACACAGCCAAACCCTACTGCAGGGGTGATTGCTTCCATTCCAAGGAAGTTCTTCTTACCGTTTTGCCTGTTTGGTTTTGGAGATATGTAGTTGTGAACCTGACCTGAAGTGAATGACTTTACTCTTCCTGTTGACTCTTCTTCATTTTCATCGTCGGTGGGTTCAGTGAGATCTTCATCAACTTGGCTCATTTCAGTAGCAGCAAGAGAGCTGCCCGATGGGTTTGAAAGACTGCCTGCAACCTTGTCCAGAGAAACCGCTATGCGAAGAAGTTGATCAGAGAATGCTGATAAAGTCTTAGATCCTGTTAAGCTATCGTTGTGAAGTTGCTGCAGGAGTGCTCCGACCTGAGCCTGCAAGCCAAAAATTTGGGAGTGGAGTACAGAAGAAGATGAAGAAGGCAGCAAACCCGGTTTACCATTGCAGACATCTTTGGCCTCTTTGGCTGCAAAAAGCAAGCTAGGATAAGAGATGTTGGAGCTCAAAGTAAAGATGGTGAAGGTGCAAAGAAGCAAAAGAGGGCATAGCAATGCAAGAAGTCTTCTTCCTCCAGGGAGCCATCTGCACGAGTTTCCTCTTGAGTTACTAGCTTTCTGCATTTTTTGTGAGGAAATGGAACAAAATTTTCAAGCTTTGAGGAGCTGATATGTTCTTTTTCTTTTTCTTGTGCAGTAGCCTCCCAGGCCAGGTTGACTTCGAAATTAAGTTCAGAACTTCAGATCCCCTGTCATTCTTTTATTCAGCAAATCAATCTTCCCTAGGTTCTTCTGACTCCAAATTATTTTTCTTAATTATTTCATGTGCCTTGGAGGATGCAAATCCCTTCCAATTGAAGCATTCTATATCTGGAGCCGATTACTTTGAAAACGGAATTAAACAAATTATGATATTTAGTATTCATCTGGAATTCATCCTTCCCGCAATGGTAAAACCGTAGGGAAATGAGCAGGCAACTCAGGAATGAATGCAAGCCATACTTTGATCAATAGAAAAACATTAGTATAGAAAAGTGAGATCTCAAACCAAAATTGCTTCCTCATACATGAATTGTAGTAGCATTCTTTTGAAACATTGTAAGGCAACAAAATAAGTATTTCCCTACATCCCTATCTCCCCAGTTCTAGGAGGTGACACATTTCCATCTTCGAGTGCTTTTATAGCTCTACCAATCCTAATGATGTTGATGTGCTTGTTCAGCTCCATTCCCACTTTCCAATTCACCATTCTCTTCCTCGCTATCATCCCCCTCTCCTTCTTCATCTTCATCCTCATCTTTTGTTCCGTCTTGTTCATCACAGTCGTGGTCTTCTTCTCCTTCATCGAGGTCCTTATTATTAGTGTCACTTATACGAAGAGCGGAGATTTTAGCAGCATATCCTTCCAGTGATACAGTAGGAAACAGATCCCCCGCTTTATTCCCTTCTGTGGTTGGTGGCATTGCTGAAGTCTTGGTTTTAGCTTTGCCCATCTGATGCAATCATTACAAGCGGTCAAACATGTGCACCACACACCCAACAGGATGCAAGGCCGGACAGAATCACAGAAATAAGAAAGACCAGGTAGGACATGAAGAGTGCAGTATAAGTTCAATAGCAGGAAGGCCTCTGTTCTAACAAGGATATAATAAATGACCAAGTTAAGAAAAGGATGAGTACTTGAGCATTTTCTACAAGGAACACAAAATCTCGAAGGCTGCCATGGACAGAGATTGAGTAGCATAAGTACACAACATCAAAAAACCAATCAAGAGATGAGCAATATCAGTTGTCAGTTCTTTGTTCACAATCCTCTAATGCATATGCCAAGTCAGCAGTTAGGCGCATAACAAGAGCAGAGAAATCGAAGCCCACACTTCCAGTTAAAATACTAAATCAACAGAAAACAGCAGGACAACTCTTCACTACTCTCTGATCCGTTTCACTTGCAGGTCAAATTCATTAGGCACTAACAACAGAATCCCCCAGATCATTCAAGCAACATAGCAAGACGATAAGATGCTGAATTAATGGCAGGTCTTCACCAAGAAACTCACCGAGCGCAGGAGGGTCCTCCTATCTCTCTCCCGGGCATTCTTAATGGCCTACAACACCAAAAGCACCAACAAAACCTAGTTCAGAACCAAACAGAAACAACAATTCAATTTTAATCGCAAATCAAACTGTTAGCCATATAAAAAACATACCTCCTCGAGCATCTTCTGCTCAGCCTCGGCAACTTCAGAATCCCTTCAGAAACAGCACAAAGTCAAAGACTCAGTATAAAACTGTTGTTACCACAATCGAAATTCATGTATATACTTCTGACAACAAAAAGATTCAGCGCAGACCTTCCAACTATCTGGTCCACTCGGCACTGGCACTTTGCGCAAACCTTTTGCTCCTTGGCACATCCTAAACAGAACAATCCATTCCAATCAAAGAAAAAGATGGTCACCACCAGCAATGAAACCAAAAAAATGCGCAAAGCTGAAACCTTTTCAGCCAAGTAGACAACTACCAACCTGAACATAAGTTATGGTAGGCATGACGGACTGCACGTTTGGTGCAATGTTGGCTGCAAAACATTCAATCCCAATACTCAGTGACTTACAAGTTACATCTATCTAACTGGATATAAGGGTCCAAGCTTAACCATTTTGACGGCTCGGTAAGAGGCTTGTACTTGCCGTAGCGGCGCTTCCAATCGATCTGATCTTTACATCGTTGGCACACTCCGCAAATCGCCGGTAAGGGCCTGAACCTGCCGCCGACTTCCTACTCGAACATATCATTTGATTCATTGGACATCAGAGGAGAGAAAGAGCGATGAATTAAATCTAAGTGTTAGTCTCTCGGAAAAAGGGAATTTTACCGTTTCGTTGATCTTGATGCCTGCTTTAGGCTTCCAAGCATATTCGTTTTGGTGCTTCGGCGGGCCGCGCCGGCTGCTCATCTCACTCCTAGGCTGGGCGGCGGCGGCCTGCTCTTCCCCGTAGCTTCAAGCGGCAGACCTAGAATGGCGAATTCAAGAATGGCGATTTGACGACTATACGACGTTCTTGCTAAACAATCAAAACTGTAGTGTACACTCTAGCCCTAGGAACTTGATATCCCCACAAAAAACCCTGAAACTATTTTTTAATCTCTAATCTTAATCTTAAAATATATTAAAAGGCTTTCAGAAATAAGCCCCGTCCACGTAAGCCTTGGAGGCTTCCCCGTTAATTTCGGTATTTGTCATTTTTATTTTTATTTTTTAACTTTCCACGGCTGCTGCGTCGGTTAGTTTGGGAAAATTTAGCATTTTTAATTATTATTTTTAACTTCTAGAGGCGGTTGCGTCCCAACTCCTTTTCAAAACTCTTTTATGGTTATGATCAAATTTGAAAACATCATTTGTGACATGTGACAGTCGATTAATAACTACGTTTTTTTGGTGAAGTAAAGTAAAAATTCTCAAAGAAGCCATTTTTAAGGGAGTGGACAGGTTACAAAATTTCGACCTGCAAAAGCCGATCGTATTATTGTATATTGATATCTTGATATGATCATACGACGTATAATCGTGTTGTCTCATCGTATCACACATGTTATGGTACGATTGGGGTTTGCATGGTTTTGCAGGTCAGGGTTTTGTAGCGAAACCAAACCATTTTTTATCTGGGATGTTAAAAATGCTCTTTTTATAAAATATTTAGATATTTACTAATAATCAATACTTACAATATACATCATACCGTTTTATTTTCATAAACATATAATAGATTTCGTGATGCTTAAAGGATGTAATAATTTTCACCTTTATATGATATTTCACTTGAAATGATGCATACAAGTATTGTGAACGTTGTCTCCTTCAATTCAGTTGAATAGTTTGTGGGAAAATTTTCACTAAAGTAATATTATAATCGATAACAAATTGATTATTTAGATGATGCCACGTATATTCATAAGTTACGGAAATGAAAATTAAAATACTACATGCCCAAAGGGCAGGGTGTAAGCTAGTTTCCAATAGGTGACTTTTAAGATAATAAGTTTTTTTAGAAACCGTGGTGGCAAATGGATTAGATTAGATTAGATTGGATTGGATTAGTATATCTATGAATCAAGCGGATTGGATAAATGAATTGATGGATTGATCTATGAATCTAAATGACATCCTAGCCTTGGACCAATATGTAACTTTGAAAAGTTTAGATACTAAAATGTCCTAATGAAAAATTTTAAGTACCAAAGTGTAATTTTTAATGATATTTTTTCATCTAAAAATATACTTTTAGGTATTAAAATGTAAAATATATAAAGTACAAGTACTAAACTATAATTTGTCATTTGGATCCATGGATCAATACATGAATCCACCAATCCAATTGGATTTGGATCAAATAAATTGTATTTAAATGGATTGGATTAGTTGAATTTGGATATTTTAGTGGATGAATTGGATTTGATTCATGGATATGAATCATAATTGCCACCTCTAACCGTGGCCCTAGGGTGTCTCGGATCGGGTTGTGAGTCTCAGGATCAATTGATGATTAGTGATTTGGAAAGAATTGAGAATAGAACTAGGAATTTAGAGAAATAGTAGTATATGAGAAAAGTAGGAGAAGAATTCGGTCTAGACGGACGGTAAGAGAGGGACGAGAAAGAGGAGAGGAAGTGTTCGAATCATTGTGCAATAATATTCAAAGCTTTCATCTCTAACTCCAATACATATACGAAGTAATAAACCACTAACATAATCCCGGTAACAATAAGGAAAGAAGTGAAATGATACTAGAGGACGAATTGAGGGGGAAGATAAGAGTTATTTGGGTCGTAACTCAATTACATTTCAACTCTTTATTTTATTTTAATTACCCTTATTGTCATTAACATATTACAAAATGATTCATTTTTTTATATATACAGAAATACTCTTGGTGGGATTGTTATGGGTATGAGGCGATGAATTTAAAACCATACTTGCCCCATCAAAATCTTTGTGGATTTAATCCATACTTGCCCTGTACTTAATTAACGCAGGAATTTCTCCACGCCATTCGAATATCTACAATCACGGATTTGATTGCTATCTATAACTGAGTGGAAGAAGAAATACCATTAGGAGTTTGAAATAATTTTTAGTTATGGATGGTTGGTATATGGGATAAATGACACAAATATTGTTTTTTTTTATTTACCACCAATATGGCGGATTAAAAACTATTAACACATATATTGTGTTTTTAGTAAAGGCTGGGGCGGCCACACCAGAGACTCAGGCGGGGCCGCTGTTTTACACAGCTCTAGGCGCTGGCGCCCGAGTCTCCAGCGCCGCCGCCTCACCCTCATATTATTTAAATGCCCCCTCGGTCGGGCCCCCTCCCACCTTATCTCCTCTCTTCTTCTTCCCTCCTCCACACACAGCCTTATCTCCTCTCTTCTTCTTCCCTCCTCCACTCCACACAACACACGAACCAGACCAGCAGAGCGCCGCCAACTGAGGCGCCGCTGCCGTAGAGTTAGGCGCCGCCGCTGGAGTTTGGAGCGCCGCCGCTGGAGTCTGAAGCGTCGCCGCTGCTTGGTGAAGCACCGCCGCTGCCGACAGAAGACCCGAGATGTCCTCCGACGAAGAAGAAGTCGCCGCCGGCAGAGGCAGGGGGAGAGGCCGGCGAGGTCGTGGCGGCCGTTTGCGCGGTGAGACTCTCGTCGGCGGCTTGATTTTTTTTTTTAATAATATTTTGTGTTTTTTAATGTTTTGTTGCTTTGTTTTTGCAGTTCCTAGGCTTATGGATCCTTATTCGATGAGATTACCGCCGGCGACAATTGATCCAGGTCCGGTCAATCCGACACTTCTTTGGAGACGTGGCCAACATCGTATCGACTCTGTTTGGACAAACGAGGTAAGTATTTGATAATTATTCATGTAAAGTTAATTAGCTAATTAGATTATTTTAGTTGGTGAACTGAACTGTGCTGTTAGAGAATAGGATTACGTATAAATTTTTTTGAAATTAGTATAATTTGATATTAGATTAGAGAGATTAGAATTTATTAGGTGAAATTAGAATTATTACGAATGAAGATGAATTAATATAAGTTTTGTGCACTATAGGCTGGTGATCGATCTTACCATGTTCGAGGTACGACCATTTTAGTACCTTACCATGAGCTTTATTGTAACACCCTACCCGGTACGTATTACCTAATCATATTGTTCATACAATTGCAGCGGAAATAATCTCGGGTGTTACATTAATTACCAAAATTTACCCAAATAAAATTTCGACATGAATTACTCGCGTAATGGGCTAACAGTTCTTCCATCTGATCCTGCAAAATAATTCATCACAAACATATATATTCACAACCATAGGCATTGGCTTTTCTTAGCCATAGCCACACTTTTCATACTCCACAACTGCATACCATACTTATACATACCATAATCGTCACAACTTACACAGTTACACAACATATACACATATCATCAACTTTCCACACCTGTGGATATCTCACACTACATCAGAAGCTAATATGCACATGAAAAACGTTCTCAAAACATTTTTACAAAAAGGTGTGGATCACTGGCCAAAATCCCGAGTAGTAGTCCAAGCACAGAATAGTTGAAGACAATACCTCATCCTGGCTTCAACTCCTCGCTCTGCCCACACCTATACACCTATCTACTGCTGCTGCTGATGATGATCTGCTTACACATAGCATAAGCAGAGAAAAAGGATAAAGAGGGTCAGCTCATAGCTGAGTGAGATAATCATAGCATCGTGAGTTCATAACAGAGCATACCCCTACCATACATCTAGCAAATAAGCCCAAGCACTAGGATCAGACCTCAGGCATCCGACATCCCAATAGGCAAAAGACTCAACCATCTTGACTTATGCATATGCATCTTATCATGTTTTACTTATAGGCGCCTGGCTACTCCCATGCTATTAACTCTCCCGGGAAACATACCCCACATCCCGTCGGATGTAGTCATACATACCCCAACATCCCGTCGGATGTGGTCATACATACCCCACACCACTATGGGTGTAGTCATACCCCGACACCACTCTGGGTGTGGTCATATCTCGTAAGAAATCTTCAGTCACCACCACATGAGAGGTGTGACTATCATACATATCATAATAGAGTAATAGCATAGGGAGCCCTAATTACTATGTAATTGACCATGAGACCAAATCACTCTTACTTGATATCCTTATACATGATTCATATCTCATCTTGCTTACTCATAATTCGTTACTTACACATGTACTTGACCCGGCCACAATTGGCTCAACATAGGTAAATCAGGAGTCGTATAATTGCACTTCCTCGGGATAAACCCTCGTGCAAGTCATCCTCCTTAAACATAATAATATCACCAGAGAATATATATTTTCCCACATGTGCATCCAAATACAACAATCATGAACAATCATACCCTATCACCTTTTCGAACCATCATAAGCCATATCAACAGTCAAGCCCACAATTTGCAACATATACACAATCATCAGCATAAGCCAGGTCCATATCAATTAGGGCAAGTCAATAATATCATATAGCAGTCCAGGGTTCATCATATAGCACAAAAGTTCATACACCCCTAATCATGCCATTCTAGTTCACCTAGGTCAATTCTAAGCATCAATATAATTATCGTGATACGACAAACCCGGTATGCCGTGCTATTCCCTCACCAGTTCTGGTCGTTCAAACACCGGTTCTAGCCTCCCGTACTAAAACGTCAATTTCACGAACGAACCCCGAATTAAAATCCGAGACCGTCCTAATATCCCCTGCAGTATCCCCGTCAATATTAGTTCTAGGCTCCGGGTCAAATTCTCGATAAAAACACATCAAACCTGGGCCGGAGCTAAATTCAGCGATTAGGACCCCGACCTAAATAATTGCCGAAATTCAGGGATTAGAACTAGAGGATTGATTACCTCGCTGCAGGAAGCTCGTATATGAAATTTGGGCTCAATCCGGCTTTCGGATACTCCGAAACCCTAATTTGGCTTATCGGGAATTCAAGAAATTCCTGAACCAAAAACTCGTTTTAAAGCTCTAAATCGATAAATCACGATGAATAGATGAATTAGGC